GACGGACGGACGGACGGACGGACGGACGGACGGACGGACGGACGGACAGACAGTCACGGCTTAATCGATTTCTCTTTTCATTCTGATCATTTATGTATACATTTGTCTATAGCTATCTCGATTCGTTTTGCCTGTTACAAACAACCGTTATGTGAACAAAGTTATAATACCCTTGTGCACAAGTGCGCTCGGGTATAAAAATAAGTGCACGAATTCTACCAAATTTAAACGGTATATTCGGACTATAATGCAGATGGGTTATATGAAGTGTGCCCGAATTCGGTCCAGCGGTTAATGATATATGACAGTTTATGGCTGTCACATGAACCACGTATATGGTACAACAGCAGATACATGAAAAATCGAAAACATAGTAAAAAATTGTTGCTATGATGTGCTGTGTTTATTTTTTCTTCGGATAAATTAGGTCAAGTATAAACATGGCGCAATATAGTAAAAAAAAAAAGTCATATNGTGTCATATAGAAAAAATCCAGGATTTTTCAATAATTTTTCAATATTTTTCAATATTTGGTGTAGAGAAGCACACCGGGATACCGCTAGTATATTTATAATATTTTAAAACTATCAATAGCTCTACGCTTTTGTTCTCAGAAATCGTGCCGAATGAGTATTGGGATTTTTTCTTTATGAGTGCAACCAGCCTTTCGAGCTTGTGTTTAGTATTCACGATGTTAGACCTGCATGCAAGTACATCTACTATGATTATTATTAGTGTGCACAGACAATACAACTAAATATCTTGAAGTGCTGAAATCTTGTCTATCATATCTCTGTAATAACCCTAATATATTATAATAAGTCCCTTTATAAAAATAGGTATACTCACTGATTTTCTTGCACAACAAGTCAAATTTCAAGGATCATTGACAGCCTGACGACCGCGTCTGCATGTGGCAATTTATTATATGGGCTCATCTTAATCAGATAACTACTTCATCACACTCTTATCCGCCCAAAAGCCGCAAGCGCACAAACCAACAAGCAAGTCATACACCAAGTGGGTCATATAAACGGTGACCAGATTTATGTTGCCTAAAAGCGGAAAATTTCTAAAGCATCGAATCCGAACATACAATTTTGTTTTTAGAATAAAAATGCGTAATATCACAATAAAAAAACATTACATTACATAATACACTTTTACTTAAAACAAACAAAACAAAAAAAAAAAAACGAAAAATGATCGGAAAAATATTTACGCACAACGTGTGTAAGCTTTTAGGCTACAAAAGCACCATCAGTTTTAGTATAATTAAGTGCAAGTTTGAAGTACCTTGGGCTTATCGTTGATTTTTGGCAATTTTTTGTTCGTGCATTTTGTTCCATCCAAGTTGATTTCAAAAATTTTGTATATAGAGAAAATGAGCAACACCATCCACAAAAAAAAAAAAATATCAAAAATCAACGGTATGTTCTAGCTAGTTTAATGGGCTGCAAAACGGCATACTCAGAATGTTTCATATAAATCTAAATTAACAACCTTAAATTTTTGACAAACTTTTGTCGAATTTTACTAATTTTTGTACAAAGTTGGAAATTTTGACTGGATACACTTTCATAAAAAATATTAAACAATAAATAACCGAAAGGGAGATAGCCAAAGATGGCATCTCTTCTCTATTTTCACTTCGCCAAGAAAACGCTGAAAATTTGGATTTAATCGTTACATATATGTAAAATCGGGATACTTATACGCCCCGCTTTTAAAAAATATTCAGCGGGACAATTGACTCGAAGGCGGAACTAACCCGCCAAAATCGGTACGAATGGTCACCGTAGTCATACACATACTTTTGTATGCATGTGTGGGTAGGTACATGGTTGCGGCACAGCAATCTCAGTTTCACCAAAAGTTGCAAAACTTGCGCAAACTTGTATACTTACGAGTAGTTAAAAGACATTGTCAAATGCGACCACTGAAATTTAGCCAAAAACCAAAACTTGCGGTAACCCATTCACTTAGCCAAAGTCAGTTTGAGCCTTTTGTTGAAGGAAGGCGACTTTTTCTTCTTTTGGGAAAGAAGGGCTCTCAAACCGATTGTGTGTGTAGGAATCTAGGAACTCTGCTAATGATGTGTGAAATTATTTGGTTAGTTTATGAAAATTGTGCGCTTTAGGTAGAATATCTACACACATACATATGTACTTAATTGCATGTATAGTATTCAAAGTATATGTCGGAGAGAATAAAGGAAGTTCTTTAATATTTTATAGGTGAATACTTTCTTCCCGTTTGTGTTTTTATGCAAAATTTGAATATTTTGCATTCACATTTGCTTGACTACGCCATTTGACTTGCTCCTGTCTGAATATCTATTCCACATGGCGAGCTCCGATGATAACCAAACATATTTTACAAGCTTACTCTACAATATTGACTTCTTTATGTTCTTATTTTTTTACTCATTCCTGTCTAGCTGTTTTTTTT